ATTGCTTTCCCAGGTGTATTAGCAGCGAGCTGGATCAGAAGTGGAGCAGCCAGAACATGAATGGTGACCATATAGGATGTCACCACCACAGGGGCAAGGTTTTTTTTTGGATGTATTATAGTGTTGGCCTCTAAAATAAATCTTTAAAAAGTGAATAGTGGGGCTGGCACAGTGGCTGGCAAGTTAATCCTCTGCTTGCAAGCCTCATTATCCTGGGAGAGCTGGTTCGTGTCCCTGTTGCTCACTTCTGGTCCAGAACTTGAATTATGACCTAGGAAAGCAGCGGAGGATGGCCTGAGGCTTGGGCTCTTATACCCACATGGGAGACCCAGAGGAAGCTCCAGGCTCCTGAATTTGGATCAGCTCAGCTCTGGCTGTTGTGGCCATTTGGGGAGTGAACCAACAGATGGAAGATCTTTCTCTCTGTGTCTCTCCTTCTTTCTGTAACTCCACCTTTCAAATAATAAGTAAGTAAATCTTAAAAAAAAAAAAAAACAAAAAAACAAAAAAACAGGCCCGGCGTGGTGGCACAGTGGTTAAGGTCCTCGCCTTGCACACCCGGGACCCCATATGGGCGCCGGTTCTAATCCCGGCAGCCCCGCTTCCCATCCAGCTCCCTGCCTGTGGCCCGGGAAAGCAGTCGAGGACGGCCCAGATCAGCATAGCATCAGCCATTGCGCTCACTTGGGGAGTGAAGCATCGGATGGAAGATCTTCCTCTCTGTCTCTCCTCTCTGTATATCCGCCTTTCCAATAAAAAAGTAAAAATAAATCTTAAAAAAAAAAACCACACACTTAGACCATTTATAAAAAGAAAAGGAAAAATGAACACCACCCTGTCCCCAGGGACCGGTACCTCCTGTGTCCTCTGACCCTGTAGGCTCATCTCTCCCCTTCACCTCTGCCCGGGTCCCGTGACTCATGCCCATGCAGGTCTCCTGCCCTGGACCACAACTATTGAACGCACAGAGCACAGCTGTCAGGTACTGACTCTGTTCCAACACTCCTGGTTCTCACACCTGTCTGGTCATGCGCAGATGGTCTCAGCCTCTCCTGTCACCAAGCCCCCCTGACCCTTTCTGAGCCTGGGACCCTCCCTCTCCCCATCCCTCCCACAGCTGCTGAAGACCCAGCCTTCCTTTCACATTTCAGAAAAAATGCATTCATAGCAAGAATCATTACGCCTCTGTGAACACACTATTCCCTTGCTCAAAATAAACCTTGAAAGCCGTGGGAGGCAGGGAGGTGTTTGGCATAGCAGCTGGGGTGCCTCTGTCCCACACCAGAAACCGGGTTCCCACCTCCGGCTCCTGACTCCAGCTTCCTGCCAGAGCAGACCCCGGAAAGCAAAGTGGGTGATGGCTCAAGTACTTGGGTCCCTGGCCCCCACACAGGAGTCCCAAACTGGGTTCCTGCCTTTGGCCTGGCCATGCCCTGGCTGCTGCAGTCATCTAAGGGAGTGATGGGAATTCCTTCTCTCCCCTCCTGTTTTTTTCCTCTCTTCCCCTTTCAACCCTCAGATTCTCCACCACTTCCTTACCTCATGCAAACAGAATAAAGCATAAAGCCCATCCAGGGCTGGGGATCCATGGTTACAACCCCAGCAGTCCCTCCCCCTTGACCCAGGCACGCATGCTTCTGGCCCTCCTGCTCCAGTCACCTGCCCATCCCTTCCCTGCATGGAGTGAGTCTAAACAGACCACCTCCTTCCCAATGGGCAATTCTCCCTACCACGTGCCACTCAGAGGTGGACACCGCCAGCAAGGGACCTGTGTTGTGAGGAGGAGAAGCCACATGTGGAGCCCCGACAGCCAGCGCTGGCAGCTGCCCCCGGCAGTTCAGTGTGTGCTGGGCACAGTGACAGACATCCCCCCCCACCCCGACCTATACAATCATTCTGTCCTCACCATAGGCCTGTGACATCAGCACAACCCGAAGCTCTGGCTACCCGAGGCTCTGGGGTCTCACTTGCCCCTCTGCAGGGCTCTCAGCTGCCCAGGTGCAGGATGACACTAGGCCCTCTAAGAAGGCCTTGCTCGTGAGAAACAGACCAGCAACCGAAGAACGGAGCGATGTGGCATGCTCTGTCCGTCCAAGTACTCACCTTCCGTGCCTGTGCCAGAGGCTGCTGCAGCCCTCCGGGATCAGACTAGGATAAAACACCTGAATGTTCTTCCCCGGGTGGAGGAACAGCTCAGTGGGAAAGAGGAAACTAACCAGGTGTCACTTGTCATGTGGGAAAGAAAGCAAATTAGAGCAGGAACAAGACTCTCCAGTGTGCTTGGAGGGGTGTGCTGGTGGCCTTGCTACTTCGTGCGAGATCAGGGAGACCTCCCCATACAATGAGATCCCAAAGAACAGTGACAAGAGTGAGGGCCTGAGGGGACTGGCATGATGGCCCAATGGCCAGATCCTCAGTTTGCAAGCCCCGGCATCCCATATGAGAGCCGATTCATGTCTTGACTGCTCCACTTCCCTTCCAGCTCCCTATTTATGATCTGGGAAAGCAGTGGAGGATGGCCAAAGCCTTGGGACCCTGCATGTGCCTGGGAGATCTAGAAGAAGCCCCTGGCTCCTGGCTTTGAACTGGCTCAGCTCCAGCCATTGCAGGCATTTTGGGAGTGAACCAGCAGATGGGAAATCTTTCTCTCTGTTTCTGTTCTCTGTAATTCTATCTTTCCACTAAAAGTAAATACATCTGAGAGAGAGAAAGGAAGGAAGGAAGGAAGAAAGAAAGAAAGAGAGAAAAGCAGAGAAAGGAAAGGTAAGTAATATATTGAGCCATGTGGCCCAAATATAACACATAGAGTATATAAAGGCCTTGGACCACGGACGACAGGTTTGACCCAGCCAAGGAACAGCCAAGACGCCCTTGCGGCTGCAGCAGAGGAGCCCGGGGAGAAATGGAAAGGTGGTGGTCTCTATCAAGTCAGGCTCTCGGTCAGGACTCCTGCTTGGGGAATGCCGACCACTGCCATCGAGGCAGTGTGTTCCGCATGCTGGAACTCTGCTCGGTCCAGCAATGCCAGCCCTGCCACACACGGGCTCCTTGATTTTAAGACTTACTGACATATTCGAAAGGCACAATGATAGAAAAAGAAGTCTGTCCACTGATTCTCTGCCCCAAATGGTTGCAACAGCCAGAGCTGGTCTAGGCTGATGCCAGCAGCCTGGAATGCCTGTGCGGTTGGCAGAGGCCCAAGCACTTGGGACCCTGAGTCTAACAGAGACTGATGAAGACACTTCATGATGTCACGTGACAGGCGCAATGAAACTGCAAGAAGAGGAACATCTTATCCCAGCTGAGGGAGGGAGGAGGCTTCCTGGAAGAGGCGCCACCGGAACTGTCACAGAGCACCAGGAAGGTGGGTGCTTCCCCCCACAGTCAAGCCATCCACGTCCTGGCTAACCCTAACCCTGGCTGCTCCACTGCTCATCCAGCTCCCTGCTCATGCGCCTGGGAAAGCAGCGCAAGACGGCCCCAGTGCATGAGCCGCTGCGCCATGCAGGAGACCTGGATGGCGTTCTTGGCTACTACGGGTATCTGAAGATTGAACTGCCAGATAGAAGATGGTTCTTTGTGTGCTTTTCCTTTCTCTCTTTCTCTGTCACTCTGCCTTTAAAATAAAAAATAAAGGACCAGGCGCATTGGCCCAATGGCTGAATTTTCACCTTGCAAGCACCAAGATCCCATAGGGCAGCTGGGTCGTGTCCTGGCTCCTCTACTTCCCTTCCAGCTCCCTGCTTATGACCTGAGAAAGCAGCAGAGGACGGTCCAAAGCCTTGGGTCCCTGCACCTACATGGGAAACCTGGAAGAAGCTCCTAGCTTTGGACTGGCTCAGCTCCAGCCGTTGCAGCCACTTGGGAAGTGAATCAGCAGATGGAAAAACCTTTGTCTCTCCTTCTCTCTGGAAATCTGTCTTTCCAATAGAAATAAATGAATCTTTAAAAAGTAAATAAACATAAAAAATAAAACAAACCTTCAAATAAAGAGATGGAATACAAACTTGGTATTGGGCAGCAGTGTCCCTGCTGCCCAAGGTCTTGCTCCCTCCTTTTGCAGCCTTTAAGTGACTGTGAGGGAAGTGGCCACCTCTGCACTCCCCAGACCTGGCTTCTTGTCGCCCAGGAGGGTCACAGCCCCATAGAAGCCCAAGGCCTTAGGTCTGAGAGTCCTCGGGGGCAGCTCCCATGGACAGCCCCTCAGGGTCCACACCGCACTGCCCCCCTGATCTCCCTGCCTCCTGCGGCTCCAGGAGGCTAAGGGCCTTGCCAAGGTCACCCAGCCAGTGGTGGGTGGCTGGACTGGGAGTGCAGCCCAGGTCTGCAGACTGCAAGTCCCACGGAGACATTGCGGCAAATATGGGAGCCCGGGCATGGTGACTGGAGAGGGTGACCCAGCTCTGCACTCAGGGCAAGATGAAGATGGCATGGGAGGTTGTCTGGCCAGGCCCATAGGGCTACAGCGGGGCTCCGTGGACCGCTTAGAGGCAGGCACGGTAGACCTGGTGTCTGGCTCTCCCGCTGGATGATGAAATGGAGGTGTTGGTGTCGACAGGGGGTGGGGGTGGGCTTGGAACGAGGCAAGAGCTCAGGGCTGCTACCAAGGAACCAGAGGGGACTGGACGGCCGCGCCTGTGCCGAAGATGAGGAGAGCGGAGGCTCGGACACCCGCACCGAGAGGGACTGGAATGCCTGTGCGGGCCGGCAGCACCAGGGGCTCAGCCTTCGCGGTCCCCGCCCCGTCCCCCGCCTCCCCGCGGACCCATCCACCGGCAGGCTCTGCAGCGCCGCGCGCCCCGGGCCGGGAGGGGTGCAGGTGCGGCGCCGGGGCGGGCGCGGGGGCGGCACGCCTGCCCTGGTCGCGTCCCCGCGTGGCCGAGCCGCAGCGGCTCCGCAGCATCCTCGGCCCGCCTCCGCGCCGCCCCTCCTCCCTGTGCGGATGGTACGCTCCGGCCCGCCTGGCCCGGCCGCAGTGGATGCTGCTAGAACCCACGCGCAGAAAGCGAACGACGCAGGCAGGCTGCGCGGACCCCAGCGGCCAGCCCTGCCTCAGGGACCCCTGAGCGGAGAGACGGCGCCATGACTCAGGGCAAGGTATCTGCACCCACCCCCTCGCCTGTGCATCCTGCATCCCTCCGGGCCCCCTGCTTCTTGGCATCTGAGCGCCCAGAGCCACTTCTAGCGTCCTCCTGGGCCCCAGTGCCCAGGCCCACGATGGCCCCTGTTGTGGTCTGAGCCCCTTTGCGAGGCAGTGGGCTCCTGGTCTCTCCTCCCGCCCAGGCTGCGCCTGCTGTCCCTGCCGTAGTGCCCCCAGCTTTTTTTTCCCAGTTGGCTTATCAAGGGGCGCCCCGAGGGACTGTGCCCAAGGGGCAGCCCCTCTGATCCAACCCTCCAACCTGTGTAAACTGCACCCCCCTCCTCAGATCCTAGCTCACTGTCATCAGCCCATGTCTGAACATCTGGCTACCATCCTCTGTGGTTGGGGTTACTATGGCAACTCTGCATCAGGATGCTCCAGTTTTTGTTTTGTTTTTTGAAGCAGGGCATGGGACTGGTCGGGACCGTACAAAACCTCTTCTTCCACCCCCCACTCTCCCACCCCCCACCCCCCCCAGTTTGAGGCCTGAATTGTTGGGGAGGGGCTGGGCAGAGACTTGGCTGGACTCCCAGGGTTATGTAACAGCGACAGCCTGTGGAATTACACAACCACAGGGCCTGGGGCACGCGGTGGGGGTTGGGGATCCCCCATCCTGGTTGGGGCCACTGAGGACTGGGCAGGGAGACCCTGAGATGACCCCCTTCGTACTCTCTCTCTCCTCTCAGAGAAGAGCCTGGGCCCTTGGATTCCCCCTACCCCACATTGCCAGTTTTTAAGCTCTTTGGGCCTCCGAGCGTTGTCACTGGGTGATGCTGCAATTGGCCAGCCCTTCCTTGGGAATGCCTTGGGGGTCCGGGGGCAGGCAGAGCCTGGGAGACAAGGTGTGGGCTGCAGTGAGCATCCTCTCCAGTCTGGGGACGAGCAGGCCATGGGGAGTGGGAACCAACACACCCACAGGAACCGGGGCTCCGAGGGCCCTCCCTGAGGAGGTGTGGGAATGGTGGAAAGGGAGAGCATCCCCTCCACTGAGCCGGCCTGCCCTCCGCTATCACCGCTGACCTGTTCCTTGCCCCAGCCCCGTTACATCCTCCACTCTGGGGAGCTGGGTGGGAAAGACTCCTTCAGCCAGGGGTACCAGGGACCAGGTCCAACCCTGGGCTGCCCCAGCTGGAAGCCCGCAGCCTACCTGGGAGCCCTGGTGCCCAACAACTCCCGCTCACCAAGGTCTTTTGCTTCTATTCACTCCACGCCATTGTGCCGGGCTGCACAGCTCATGTCCCTTCACCAAGGGGTGCATGTGGTGAGGCAGGGGGCCTAGCTGGGTACACATAGGCCTCAGTTTCCTCACTGGCTGTGTGGGGAAGCAGCTACCATGGTGCCTTTCCAGGCCCTGTTCAGTGGGAACTGGATGCTGAAATCCCAACAGGAAAGGCCGGAATGGGGTCTTTCCAGAGAGCTCCTTGCCATCCCTCCACCCAGCAGCCCTTCTTTTCTTTTCCTTCCCGGCCCCTTCCTCTTTCTCCCGGGCCCTTGCCAGCCCAACAGGAGGAAGGGCAATTGCAGTGGACGTTGCCCGGGTTCTGCAGCTGCAGCCCCGTGACCCCACCAGACAAGCCTCCCTCCGTCTCTGGAGTCAGAATCTGGCTAGCCAAGTGGCAGGAAGATGACGTGGGAGAGCCACCTGTCTGTGACATGGGTGATGGGCTGCCCTGCGCCGGGATCTTTCCTGGACCCCAGGAAGACCCATCCCTGCTCCAGGGCCAGTGACCACCACAATGCTCCTGGGAATTCCTTCTGTCCTCACCTGTCATCCCCGGCACAGGTGCAAGTGTGCCAGGAAGTCCTGGACACACAGGGGCTGTGGATGAGGTGGAAGCCCCTGTCCCTGGTGACACTTCTCCCTGCTCTGCTCCACAGCTCTCCGTGGCTAACAAGGCCCCCGGGACTGAGGGGCAGCAGCAGGCACATGGCGAGAAGGAGGCTCCAGCAGTGCCCTCGGCCCCACCCTCCTATGAAGAGGCCACCTCTGGAGAGGGGCTGAAGGCAGGAGCCTTCCCTCCAGCCCCCACGGCTGTGCCTCTCCACCCCAGCTGGGCCTACGTGGACCCCAGTAAGTCTCCCAGCTCCAGGAGGCCAGGACACCAAGGGGAGTGGAGAACCCGAATGGAAAAGCTAAACAGGAGGAAGGGGCCCAGGAAGAGAAAGGCACTGTGTGGCTGTCGCTTGAGACTGTGCCATCCACGGTTTAGGATGTACAGGAGCGTCTTAAGGCTCCATCCAGAACACGGGAGAGAGGCAGTGGCGGATAAGTCATTGAGTCATGGCGCCCGGGGAACAGATGGGCAGTGGCTAGTCCACAGGAAGCAGTGTGGAGGAGCAAAGACGGGAGTCAGAACAGGGCAGATTAAGCAAGCAGACCATTCCCTGGCTGTTAGGAGACCTTCTAGAGACGGGTTCCCATAGGGGAGCCTCCATCTGTGACCACCTTCCCTATCTCCTAGTTGGGTGCAGGAGGGCGTGATGGAGCAGGTGGCTGGGCGCCAGCTTCAGTGCCCTTCAAAGCCAGGCGTGGTCACACACACCTGGGGGATGTGGGGTTCTGGCCACTGGGAGCCCCTCTGCCCATCCAGCCACTGCGAGAGCTTTCCTAGGGCCAGGAGTACAAAGGGCTTCCCAGAGGCCCCTTGCCCCACCCCCCTCTACTGACAGAATTCTAGAATGAATGCCACAGACAATGCCCTCAGACAGAGCTTCTGCTCACACGGAGTAGCCACATGGCCCGAAGCTCCCACCACCCGCCCCCTGGACTCCCTGGGCCCAAGGCCCAGAAGACTCACCCCAAAGTGGCCTACTGGAAGGTCCATGAAGGTCTGGTGGCGTGGGGCCCTCCTGCTTGCCCTTGCCGGTCCTGGGCAGCGCACCCCCTCCTCCTGCCTCCTCTATCGCAGCCTGGATGTTTGGGTTTGGGGCAGAATGTAGACATGATGGGAGGAGAAAGCTGAGGATCCGTCTCCTTCCCCACGCCCTTCCCTTTTCTCGGTTTGGTGTTTGACCTAGCCCATTTCGGGCGGCATGTTGATTGACTAGCCATTCCATGATCTATGTCCTCACAGAGCTGGCTCCATAGATGAGCTAATAGATGGCTACCCTAGGGTGACCCAGGGAGGCCTGGGCAGTGTACCCAACCCACGTGACAGGCAGGGAAGGCTGCCTGGAGGAGGGGGCTTCCATACAGTGTCCTGAAGGACAGGTGGGCCTGCAGGGTATACCCAAGCAAAGGGAAGAGAGAGGGAAATGAGGGTGTTAGGCTGCAAGAACGGAATGTGCATGAGACACGGGAGCGCGTGGCTGGGAGGAGTGGGAGGAAGGAATGTGCAGCGTGGCTGCAGTGACCCTGTAGAGAACCTGAACTTGAACGATGGGCAGTGGGGAGCCCCTGCAGAGATTGTAGCTGTGCAGCAGAATGGTCAGCTTTGGAAGGCCAAGACAGGAGCTGTAGTGGGGGTAGGGGGTGGGAGGGAGCCATTGTTGGTGACAGTGGAAGGGAGCTTAGGGAATGTGTTTGGGGGCAGGCCATGGGCTTCTGCTTTGGATCAGCTTTGGTCTCCAGGATGTGGTCACGTGACAACTCCAGCCAAGCTTGTGTTGCCTGAAAGTTGGGGAGGCAGAGGCACACACAGAGAGGGGTCACCCATTCTCCCTAAATGCCCACCACAACTGGGCCTGGCACAAGCTGAGGCCAAGAGCCAGAAACTCAGCCTGAGCTTCCAATGTGAGTGGCAGGAACCCAGCCTCTTGAGCTACACCTGCTGCCCCCCGGGGTGTCTACGCTTGCAGGGAGTCAAGAGGAGAACCCCATCTGGTTGAATGCAGGTGTCTCAGGTGGAATTTTAGTGCCCACTCCACCGTGAGCCTGTTTCAATGTGCTCCATGCTCCCTTGAAAGCGACCTGTTCTGAGAACAGGTGCCAACCTTCCCACCCATACACGTGCTTCATATCGTGGCTCTGGCCTCATGTCTGTCCCCTCCAGCTATTCTGAACCCTGACTTCTGGCCAGAGCACCAGTAAGGGGGCTCTTTTCCCCAAAGGTCTGGGAGCATCCAAGACCAGGACCAGTAGCCCTGATATGTGCTGGGAGGCAGAGGGGGGCAGGGAGAGAGAGAGACTGTCCCTTTCTGCTCTTTCGTCACAAAGATGTCTGATTGAGAGGTACAAGGTAGAAGGTCCAGTTTGTGTGGCCAAGCAAGGCCCTCTAGGGACCCAAGTCAGGGTGGAGGGAAAGGGAGAGAGGTGACAATGCATTCTCAGCCCCCTAATCAAGCAAAACAAGATGTGGCAGGGAAACGGAGAACAGGGTTGGGCTGGGGTGCAGGGCTGGGTGATGGCCTTGGCATGGTCCCAAGGTGCCTCAGGACAGGAGGCGGCTTGGGGTGCCTGTTCTGTGCCCGAAGCCCTCACAGCCCCCTACCTGCCCACCCAGGCAGCAGCTCCAGCTATGACCGCGGTTTCCCCACCGGACACCATGAACTCTTCTCCACCTTCAGTTGGGATGACCAGAAAGTTCGCCGAGTCTTCATCAGAAAGGTGATGCTCCCCCCAACCCCAGCTCTTCTGGACTGGAACCCCCAGAGAGCCCCACCCTTTTCTCCCCCTTCTTGGGGGGGGGCGGGGTCCCAGCCATCAGCACTTCCAGGCACCCTGCCACCCCTGCCTGCACAGCAGCCACCAGCAACTACTAGGCAGGGTCCTCTCCACCTTGGGTTCACCCAGTATCTGCCTCCTGTCAGCGCCACCCCCCCATCTCTTCTCCTGTGCCTCTGGGCCCCATGCCAGTGGCCCTGAGAAGAGGGTGGAGCCCGCTCCTGTGGGTCCACAGAGTTGGTTGAGCCCTGGGGGGGGGGCCGGCCTGTCCTGAAGTCCCGCAGCCTTCCACAAGGAGCCGGGCTGAGTGTGACCCCCTTCCCCAACATTCCCTGCCCAGGTCTATACCATCCTGCTCATCCAGCTGTTGGTGACTTTGGCTGTCGTGGCTCTCTTTACTTTCTGGTAAGTGAGCAGCATGCGTGGATCTGAGGCCTGGTGGGAGGGTCTCTCCTGGGAGGTTTGCTGGGGTGGGAGCACTGTGGAGGCTCCTCCTCACGCAGGGAAGAACTGGAGATGGTGCCCAGGGGAGTCGTCCTCTGGCCAGGCGGGGTGCACCTGCTGCTGCTCTCTGAGCTCTCACCCACCCCAGTGCAGCAGGCACCCACTCAGGGGCCCCCTGCTTCCTGCCTGGGCCTGTGTCTGCTCCCCTCCCCCACCAGCCCTCAGGGAGGGGGATGGGGGGCAGTCACACAAACAGAAGTCGTGACATTGGGTCTCTCTCCCCACTTCTCCACAGTGACCCGGTAAAAGACTATGTTCAGGCCAATCCAGGCTGGTACTGGGCATCCTAGTGAGTACACCCCGAGGCCCCCAGACCCAAAGCCCCAGGATGGGGTGGGTGTCCCCGTGTCTCCCTGGACAACCCCGGAAACCCTGCTCCATTCTGTCACCTAGAGCACGGCCCCAAGGATCTTGCTGGGGGGCTCAGATCTGTTGGGGAGGTGGGGTAGGTGCTGGAGCTGAGGTTGGGGAGACCCTGACCCTAGCCCTAAGGAGAAGGGGCACTGGGTCACCTTGACACGTGGGAATGATATTGTTGCTGTTCTTATTAACACTGTTATTAGCACTTGTGAAATTATTAATCATAATAACTCCCACTTAAAGAGTGGCTAATAAGGGCTGGGCATGTGTCTGTGTATTCGGTGTGCTGTGTTGCGTTTGATCCTCAAATCGGCTCAGGACGTGATTACCTTGGAAAACCGAGGCTCCTCGGAGAGGTTGAGTCATTTACCCAAGGTCACCCAGCTCGCCAGGGGCACAACCAAGATTCAAACCTGGGGTTCAGGTTAAGGCTTGCATGCCTAATCCCTCCACTTGGCAACCTCAAACCACCTGGCTCCTATGTGTCCTGCCCTCGAAGGGCCAGGGTCAACTGCAGAAAGAGGTTAGAAGGTATAGGCCCTCCCATCTGGGCAGTTGCAGGCCACAGCAGGCCTGGGGCTGAGAGTAGAGCCACTCTGGCTGCTGCTCCGGTCTCCCTAAGCCACCACTGTGAGCCCAGCCCTATTCCAGGATTGCTGGGGAAGACAGTGGGGGATGTCAGTTGGCAATCGGAGGAGCCCAGAGCGCTCCTCCCACACCAAGGGATGCACCTGCCAGGAGAGGTCAAGGACTGACGTGCTCCATGGCGGGAGGTGCATAGGATCATGGGGGCTCCACATCGGGCAGCCCTGACACTTCCTAGGGGGGCAGTGGGGCTGGCTCAGGGGCTTGCCACCTACAGCTATCACGGGCCTGTGCCTGCATAGGGGTCTGGTGGTGCGGGGGCGCTCAGCCTTCACTGTCATGCGGGAGCCGACTGCAGGACAGGAAACTCACACCCCAAGTCTGCAGACTGGGCAAGCCGGCCCAGCCCCTGGGGAACTGGGAGGTCCCTGGATGGGAGAACTAATGAGGCCCTGGTGACTGCCACCCGGGCCAACCCACATGGTGGGTTGGCATGGCTCCTGGCACGTCAGCACCCAGGGCTCCCCACCCCCCGCTGAGGCCTGGAGAATGGAGTCCTGGGGCCCCTCCCTGGGCCTTCCACTGGGGAGGTGTGTGTGAAGGGGGAGCGGGGCCAAGTTCCAACCAGGGAGTGTGTCCTCTACCCCTCCACTCTCTGGCCTTGGGGGCAGGGCAGGCAGAGGGAGGCTGGGGTGAACATGGGCTGCGTGTTCTGCACTGTCACAAAGCATCAAAGGTGTTGAGTTTCCCTCACCACCAGGTAGCCTGCCTGGGTTCTCCCCACTGCTCATCCCTCTCCCTCCTCCTCCTCCCCTGCCCCAGGCATGGCCCCTTGAGTCCTGCAGGGTTTCACCTGCACTGACACACTGAGGGCTCCTCTGTCCTCCTCTCCCATCTTCCCTGTAGAACAACCAAGAATCAGTTTCTTCTATGGGAGGCGCCAGACGTAAGCGTCTCATGTCATCCAGGCAGGTGTTGCTGTTACCCATGTTACAGATGAGCAGAAGGGCAGCCTGTGCTGCCCCTGGAGGGTGGTGGAAGCGGGGACTGGAACAGGCCCGATTGGGGAGGTGCTGGACTCGGTTCTGACGCTCTCCAGATAGACCAGCCCGAGCCCTGGGGCTGAGGTTGTGACATGCGCCTATGCGCGCCTCGCCGGCTCTCTCCCAATGCATCTCTGACTCATGCTCTGCCCCATGGGATGCCAGCTCCCCCTCCCCGGGACTCTCGCCTTATTGCCTTATTATTGTCTGATGGCTCCCGCTGAGTTGCCACGCGTCAGCGCTGCGGGAACACTGGTGTCTGGCAGAGGTGGGGCGGAGCAAGCTGTCCATCAGCCAGCATTGAATGGTAACCACAGCAGCCCCCATGGGGCACTCCTTACCCTGTGCCCACCCCCTTATGGAGGGCCTGAAAGCATCACCCCTCAACAGCTCATGAACTGGCACCAGCGATCCTGTTCTGTAGAGGAGGAAGCCGGGCCCAGGCTATGGAAGGGCTTGGGGTTTTGCATCCGCACCATGATCCCTGGGCCCTTGGTCCCTCTACTTATCCTCCCAACCCCTCACCCAGGGGTTGAGGAACTATTGGCCCTTGTCTTCAGCCCGGCCAGGGAGACAAAACCCACACCCAGGGCATGCGTATATGGGGTATTCTTGCCGACACTGTTGTTGAAGTGACTGACCAGTGACTCAGGGGAGGCTGAAAGAGGGCAGGTGTAACTGTTTCCCAACTGGGGCAGGATGGCCCTGCTGCTGTGCACGGAGAGAAGGCGGACAGCAACCCTGCCCCCGCCCCTGGGCACCAGCTGCCCATAGGACCCCCATTGCCATGGTGAGGACTGCTCAAGAACAGGAAAGTGTTGAAGCTGAAGGAGGGGTCTTGATCATCAAATCTAACAGGCTTGTCTGGATCCTTGCAAGCCCAGGTTTCTGGTTTATAGTTGTATATCTGCATATCATCCAGAAAGACATAAGGAACACCTGGCAGGTGCTGGTTCCGAGCCAGGTAGCCACAACAAAGCAGGCTGGACCTGAGGTGCCACAGCTGTGCATGGAGGTGCCAGGTATCCCAGGAAGGCCTCCTAAAACATGAGATCTCTGGTGCCCCAGCTAGTCCTTTCTGGCAGGAGCTGAGGTTGGCAGGTGCCTTTCCAGGGTGCAGAGCAGGTTGTGATGACGAAGGTGTAAGATGGGGCAGAATGTGGTGAGATGGTCTGGGGAGCTGGGTGGGCATGGATGGTGCAGGGCACTGCCAGGACTTCGGGGCTTCTCTGCCGAGGGGGAAGTGTTGTCATGAGACGTGCTTAGGAGCAGAGGGCCGGAGGGAACTCCTATAGCAACTCTGCCAGGCCAGAGAGAGAGAGAAGTGGCACAGCCAGCAAGGGTGGTAGAGGGGAAGGAGGGAAGGGAGCAGGTTTGCGAGCCACCTGGTTGGGCGGATGCACAGATGCAGGCGATTAGCCGGGCGTGGCCAGGTGACAGTCTAGGATGATGCTGAGGTATCAGCAGGAAGGAGCAGGACGGAGGGAGAGTGGAGTTGGATGCCTTCTTTCCCAGAGGGCAGCAGCATGCTGGCATCTGGGTTTGAGGAGCAGAAAACAGAAATGTGTGAGGTCATGGAGACAGGTGAGCCTGCCTCGAAGTGTGTGCAGGGAGCAGTGGAGGGGACCTCCGGGACTGAGGAGGCGTGGCCGGAAAGAGAGGATGCTGGGAAGTCAGGTAGGGTGAAGACGGACGCATGTCAGTGGGACTCGGTGAGGTCATCGCGACGTGGCCCAGCCGGCTGTCATGAACTGGGGCTGAGGCTCAGTTTGTTAGGCTGGGCGATGGAGAGAGGGTGCTGTGTGCACAGGACCCCTTTCTGGAAGCTGGGCTGTGAAGAAAGAAGTACTGCAGAGGGCTGGGATGGGAGGGATCTGGCAGAAAGACTTAAGTCTATGAGATCCTTTGCAAAGCCCAGGGATGGCAGGAGGGTGCATGGCATCAGTGTGTGACATTCTCCAGGGCATCCAGGGAGGCCATTTCATTGTCACAGCTCTGTCTGGGATATGACCTTACAGGGGAGTAAAGCAGTTTGTGGAGGGAGCAGAGAGGGCTCAGGGAACAAGGATGGCTGAGGCCACATAGTAGGCCCATTAGCAGATGACAGCACACCTTGGGGAGGGGACCTGCCTGGGTAGGTGAGGGATCCAGGGCCTCAGGGATCCCAGGCCCTTGTCTTCCACCCCCTAAGCTGCCCAAGCTGCCATAGCTCTCTCTGCATTGCCCACCCCCAACACTTGTGGCCCCTGACCCAGGAATTCATTGCACAGATGGCACTTGTTGCTTGTGCCAGGTGCGGGCTGGGTGGGCCAAGAGGCTGACAAGGCTGTTGGAGGTTGCAGTGGGGCTGTAGAAGGCAGGATGAGGCAGGGAGGGGAGGCAGAGTGCCCGGGCTCTAATCCGGCTTTGGCAGCAGTGTGCCAGCTGCGTGACCTAGGGCGTGGACGAGTCGCCTGTGCTATACGGTGAAGAACACACTTCATAGAGAAGGCATGCATGCCGACAGCTCAGCCTGTGGGCTTTCCAAGTGATCACACAAGTTGGGGGACATGGCTTTGCCTTGGGTGGGGTCCCATAGTGTCATCTCCGGAAGCAGGCCCATCCTATCCCCCTTGCCCCTCTTTGGGAACATGGCCACATCCTGGTGTGACTGTGGCCTGCCCTATCCCTCCTGGCCATCTTCCCCTGGGGACTGTGGAAGGGCAGGGGGGCAGAGCTCAGGAGGCTGTGGCTGACCTGTTCTCCTGTCTGTCCACAGTGCTGTATTCTTTGTCACCTACCTGACCCTGGCTTGTTGTTCTGGACCCAGGTATAAGAATGGCTTGGGGATCAGCTTGTGGGAGGGATGACTGAGCCCCAGCCCTGCCTGCCACTCATGTACTGTGTATCCCTGAGGGGGTCCCCTCCTTCTCTGGGCCTCAAGCCAGGTTACGGGGGGTGGGGGCGGTGAGTGGTCGGATGGGGCTACACGGGGATGCCAGAGGGAGCTGCAAGGTGTAGGAGAGGACTCTGACCCAGGCTTGCTTGCAGGAGGCACTTTCCTTGGAACCTGATTCTTCTCACCGTCTTTGTAAGTGACCTGCTATGGGTGGAGACGGGTGCTGCCTGGGGATGGAGGAGGAAGGACTGCTGGGTCAGGACACAGGAATGGGCTGCTTCGACTCACTTCTTTTGGGCAGGCTATTGCACCCTCTCTTTCTAAGGACCTGATCTTGCCCAGCCCCCTTTCCTTGTGGTGTGGATCCAAAGAGGTTTGCATGGAGAAACCTGAAGCTCTGGGCAATGAAGGGGTTGGGTAACCCACTCCAGACTTGGAGCAGAGGATGGCCAAGAACCGGAGCTTTTGCATGCTGGCCACTGGGACATTCCTATGCTGGGCTGACTGCAGATGCATAGGGGATGTGTGGGTTCAGAGCTGACAGGAGCATGCAAGGGACAGAGGCCCAGGCTGACCTGGAGGGTGCCTGGGCCCTCCGAGTTCTGAGAGTTGCAGTCAGCGTTTGCTCACTCCACTTCTCCCTCCAGACCCTGTCCATGGCCTACCTCACCGGGATGTTGTCCAGGTAAAGGGAACAGGTGGAAGGGTGGCAAGGCCATAGGCTAGGCTTGGAGAATCCCTCCCCTCTGGCACTCAGGACCCAGCCAGGACAGTAGGGTTGGGGTGCAGGGTGTTAGGGAGCAAGGTAGTTCAAGCTGCAGCTGGAATAACCCCAGGCCTCTGCCTCTGCAGGCCCCTTTCCTCTACACACCCCTCCCAGGTCCTTCCAGTGTGACCTGCAGGAAGATAAGGGAACCAGAGGCAGAGAGGATGTTGGGATGGGGCTGCGTCAGAGGTCATACCACCAGGTTCTTGCAGAGGAGGGTGGGACTGCGAGGAGCAGGGTCCTAAAAGCCAACCCATGTGTCCTATTACCCTCAGCTACTACAACACCACGTCTGTGCTGTTGTGCCTGGGCATCACAGCCCTCGTCTGCCTCTCCGTCACCATCTTCAGCTTCCAGACCAAGGTCAGCTCCGGGCCCAAGGGCAGGGGCCCCAGCGTAAGGCTGTGCAGAGAAAGGGTAGATCCAGAGCTGGGATCCAGGGCTGGGGAGGAAGAAAGAGGATGCCCTGGCTCAGGGGCGGCCCCATGGGGTGTAAGAGGTGAACCCACAGCCAGCTGCTGTGTGGGCCCCTGGTTCTGGAGGGCACAGCGCCCACGGAGCCCTGGAGGCAGCGCTGGCCTAGGCATGCCTGCGGGCGGGTGCTGATGGCCATCCTGTCTCCACAGTTTGACTTCACCTCCTGCCAGGGAGTGATCTTCGTGCTACTCATGACCCTTCTCTTCAGCGGACTTATCCTAGCCATCATCCTGCCCTTCCAATATGTGAGTCTGCCAGCCCGTCCCTCTCAGGCCCAGAGCCACAGCTCCGCAGCCTGCCACCCTGTGCAGGCCCCTGGCACCTGCCCCGGGGCCTGGAAACAGTGTGAGCAAACAAGGAGGCTTTTCTTCTTGGCAGGCCTGGACACCTGCCAGCTCCAGGAGCCACATCCGGCTTTACCTTTCCTTCCCTCTCCCCCTCCCCCACTCCCTAGTCCTTCTCTTCCCCCCACCCACCCGCCAAGGAAGTCCAGGAGCATTTAAACTCTCCCAGTTGGGGAGGGAGGACTGGGACTCCAGAGGGGCCTGGAGGAAGGGCCTCCTGGAGATGCTGGAGGCATTGCCCTCCTGGAGGCAATCCGCAAGTTCAAGCAGGCAGGCAGCATCCGGCAGGCAGGTGCAGAGCGGAACAGGGGGCCAGAGCAAAGCAGACCCCCACCCCAGAGCGTCCACAAGCTGGCAGTCAAGTTCTGATTTTCTGAGGAGGGGATCTGTCCAGGACTGTTGCAGCTGCTGAGGCTGCCGCACCTGGGGCAGGGGTAGCCTGAACTCAGGGCCCCACTGGGGATTCAGGGCTTCTCCCAGTCCCTCACTCACCTCCTGCCTGCACTGGCCACACAACTCCTGCCCCTCCTCCCCCACCTCCATCCTGCCCAGCCCCAGCCTGGGGCATTTGGCTGCCAGTCCAGGACACGAGGATCGAACCTGGCATTTCCTTGCTCTTCCCAAGATCCTGTTGACGAAAGGAGGGGCCGGAGCTGGCCTGGGGGCCCTCTGTGTATCCAGGATGGGGAGGGGGTTGTAGGAAGGGGCCCTGGAACTTCAAAGAGCTCTTTATTGACTGGGCCAGGCCGATACGGTGCCTTTGTTTCCCTGGAGTCTTCTAGGGGAAGGGCACCATAAGGGTGGCACCTCTCATGGGGGTCTGACTCCCAGCTGGGTGACCTTGAGAGCTGGGCGGGATGACCCTGCTGAGGCAGACAAAAGCTGGGGGTCGCTGCCTCTGCACACGCACCCATGGTGCATAGCTGCCGGAGACCCCTCAGTTCCTCTCTTGGTCCTTCTCCACCTGGGCCCCTCATTCTAAAGGCAAAGCCAGGGAGTTCCCTGGTAGAGGGACAGACCCCCATGCTGAACTGAGGTGGGGGGATCGTTGGGAGGGAGCAGGAGTAACCTGCAGCCAGACATGGATGAGACTGAGCTGTGTGTAAGGGAGTTGGGGGAGGGGGCAGATCCTTAACCGCCACCCTTCTGCTGGTCTCGGGGACCCACCAACCCCTCTCAGTCCTGGGGAACGGGAAGGAGGACTGCCCATGCCCTCCCATCTCTGGATACAGTCGTCCTCCCTGCCCCTCGCCCGCTGCCCCTTCTGGTCATCCCTGACCCCATTTTGTGTCTGTCTGCAGGTGCCCTGGCTGCATGCAGTCTACGCCGTGCTGGGAGCTGGTGTGTTTACTCTGGTGAGTTTGGCCCAGCTCCCCTGGGCCACCTGTTCAGGCTCCCCATGTCCCCAGCCTCCTCTGCCACCCCTATATGCTCCTGTCTTCCTCCCTGCACCCTCTTGGGAGCACCTGTGGGAGGGGCTGTGCTCGATCCTGGGTGCTGTCTTCAGGAGGTGCCGAGTTGCCGGGTAGGGAAAGAAGGTGTCACAGTAGAAGCTGGGCTGTGGCAAGTGGTCTCTCTGCTGCTTTGTGGGGCTGGGAAAGTGGGACGCCCTGGCTCTGGGGGCCGAGTGCTTCCCAAGGATAACCTGGATAGGCTTCTTGGAGCTGAGGAGTTATGTGTGGCACCGTGAAGCTGGCTTTGCTTTCTGCTGGGGCCAGGGCTGCTAAAGGAACAATAATGCTGATGTTGGCGGAGCATAAGGGCCACAAGTGCATTTAGCTGTCCCAGTTCACCAGCAAGATAGAGTTACTGTTGCTTGGTTAAAGTGCAGGGAACAGAGACTGCACGGCCATGCTGCGTTGCAGAAGGTTGTTAGGAGGGACCTGAAGGGTCTTACTCCAGGGCTGGGTGGGGGAGCAGCTGCAAGCAAGTGCCTAAGAGACAAGAGGTGACCAGGGACCGACACCTGCCTGAGGTGGGTTGCCAACACCTCACGTGGGCAGGCTGGTGCCAGTCATTCAACTCAGGAAGGTCCTGGTAGAAACGCTGACCAGGACTCTCTGCTCCTTCCCTGGGACACTCGGCTTCCCTGGGACACAGTCCAACATCCCTGCCTTAGTCACTGGCTCGTGGATGACAGACGGGGGTCACGCCTGTGAGCAGAGGTTTGGTGAGGGAGTAGGTCTGGACAGGGATCTAACCAGTGTGGTGGACTCATCCCAAAGACCTTTGTTGAACACCTGCTGTGTGTGGTTGCTGTCCCACAGGCAGGCCCAGTGGGTGGTACTCAGAGATGCTCAGGAGAGCCTGGGATAGGCACAGCACAGCCAGGCCTAGGACACGAGGCCTGGGAGGGACTGATGGGAATCCCAAGCTCTCTTTCTAGAGGATCCCGTGGCAGTTAGGTGATTCGTACAGAATTGCTGACAATCTTGCAGCCTTAGTACAACAGTCCTGGGATGCCTGGGGCTCTGAAAGTACCACTTCCTGGGCAGGCTGCCTACCCTGAATCACCCCTTTGCTGGCTGTTTCCCCCGGGGAATACCTTCGGGAGGTGATCCTTGTTTCCTAGAGTAGGGGCAGGTGCCAAGGTTAGGGGGAAGGAATGAGGGGTGACGGGAGACCCATGTCTGCTGAGGACACCCACAGGCATCAGGTAAGGACATGTGGGCTGGTGCAGTCAGGGAAGGGTGAGCATCAGGCAGGTTGGCTGTGTGTGGGTCCAACCTCCGCAAATACGTGAACAACACAGGTGGCACATACAGGCAGGGCTGGGCCACCATTAATCCCCTGAACCTGTTTAATAATCCCCTGTGTTATTAGAATAATAAAAATAATCCCAACCACCCGTTCCACTTGTTATATTCTGCAAAGCACTTTCACACCTGTGACCTCATTGCCTTTCTGAACAGTCTAAGGAGGGAGGCCGTGCTGTTTAAAGGGCTGACTACCTCTGGAGGCAGTGAGGGGCAGACTGGGGGACCAGGACTCATGGCTTCTGGGAGTCCCCTCAATGAAGACAAAGTCTGTTGGCTTGGGGTTGGTAAGGGCTAAGTCCTCCCCAGCAGCCTTCTCTCTGCGTCCCGTGCGGTTACTCTGGGCACAAAACTGTACTCACCGTAAGAGAGTCCGGTTCACAGAGACCCCTGCGGCTCTGCCCTCCCCCTCTGCTGTCTGGAGAGCAAGGGTTCCTGGAACAGGGCCTCCTGCCCTCCTCGGTGGCACCTCTCCCTCCTTGCCCCTACAAGTCTGCTCCCCCTTGGCTCCCAGCCTGCACCCTCACCTCAGTTCTCTGCCACCTGCCCCCCTATCCCCCTTGCCCCCCCTACCCCCCACCCCCCCTGCCCTCCCTGCCCCACCTGCCCCCTGCCCCACCTGCCCCACCTGCCCCACCTGCCCCCCTGCCCCACCTGCCCCACCTGCCCCCCTGTCCCCCCTGCCCCCCCGCCCCACCTGCCCCCCCTGCCCCACCTGCCCCCCCGCCCCACCTGCCCCCCCTGCCCCACCTGCCCCACCTGCCCCACCTGCCCCATGATACAGCTGCTTCTCCAATTTGCATCTCCAGCCTGCATCTCTCTTGAATTCCAGGCTGGAAGGCCCCACCATGTTGCCAGTGTCTGTTTAGACATCCCACCAGCTTTCTCCTTGGGTACCTGCTTTTCCCACTGCACTGCTGTCAACCTGTCACCTTGCCAACATCCTCGGATCCTCCCTTCTCCCAAACACCCCAGACCCTGCCTGCCCTGCAGCCCTCCCTGCCACCAGAATCTGAGCACCTGCTGGCCCCCTCCTGGCCGCTCCTAGATCAATCGCCATCGCCTCCTGCAGGCTGCTGCGTACAATGGCTGCAGCAAGCCGGCTCAACAGGCTGCCCCGGGCAGTAGCTGCAGTGCCAGCTCAGTTCTTGGCTCAGCATCTCTCAACCGCTCCCTTTCTCGACCTCTTCCTACCCACCCTGCTGCTGTCGTGGCTGCACTGGCCTCTTTGCTGCCCACTCCATGCCCAGAGCATCTGTCTGTCCCCTGGGGCTGCTCACGGCTCTCTGTCTTGTCGTCCGTCCTGTGAGCCTGAGCACCAAGGCGCTACCCCTTGCCTGGTTCCTATCCATGGTCCTTCTCCTCCAACTCACAATCATTGTGTCCCTCCTCCAACAGAACCCAAGCTCCCAGCAAGTAGAGTTTTCTGCCTGGTTGTTTGTCACTGCGGCCCTGGTGCCTGGAATACAGCACTTTCTCGTGGCCTGGAAGGTGCTAGAGAAGTGTGGTGCGGGGCTGGGGGAAGCCGCTGACATCCTGCTGAAGCCGCTGGCAAAATGGGATCAGGCACTGGTCATCAGTCGCCTGTGAGCTTGAGGAGGAAGTGGGACCCAGTGACCCACTGGTGCCTTATGAGGAAGGAGTTAACTCAGCAGAGGCCTTTATTCGAAGGCAGGGTGAGAGAGAGAGAGAGATCTTCTGTCTGCTGCATTTATTCCCCAAATGGCTACAACAGCCAGGGCTGGGCCAGACCAATGCCAGGAGCCAAGGACTCCATCAGAGTCTCCCATGTGGGTGACAGGGGCCTAAGCACTTGAGTCATCCTGTGCTGCCATCCCAAGCACATTAGCAGGGAGCTGGATCAAAAGTGGAGCAGCCGGGACTCAGTCCCGGATAGGCTGCTGACACTGCAAGATGAGGCTTAACTCACTGTAACATAGAGCCAGTCCACCCTATAGTTAGGGTTTTTTTTTTTTTAAAGATTTATTTATTCTTATTGTAAATCAGATATACAGAGAGAAGGAGAGAGAAAGATCTGTTTGCTGATTCACTGCCCAAATGGCTATAACAGCTAGTGCTAAGCCAACCCAAAGCCAGGAGCCCCCTCCAGGTCTCCCATGTGGCTACAGAGTCTCAAGGCTTTGGGCCATCCTCCACTGCTTTCCTAGGCCACAAACATGGAGTTGGATGGGAAGTAGGACAGCCGGGACATGAACTGGTGCCCATAGGGGATCCTGACACGTGCAATTCGAGGACCTTAGCCACTAGGCTACTGCACCAGGCCCACCCTGTAGGTTTTATATCCTGTGTGTTGCTCTCCTTCATCCTGGTCAGAGGAGGGAGACAGGTCCCACGGGGGCCCTTGATTCCAGGGTAAGTTGAGGAGGGGAGCCCTGGACTCCATGCCCACCTACTTCATTTCAGGCCCTCCAGCTACCTCACTGGGTCTAAGAGGCCCCATGCCTTGCATACAGCTCAACCCAGAAGTTTGCCGTGATCCTATCTGCCTCCACCTCCCCGTCATTTCCATCCTGTGTGGAGTCTGATGTCTCCCAGCTCCGCCCTCCTGGTTGGCCTCCGCCATGCTCTCCCACCCTGCACTGAGGCGGTCCCAGCACAGGAGGGCACAGACCAACAGGGCAGGTGCACTCAGTGCTGCCTCGGGGACGGTGTGACGGGGCACCCAGCCCCAGGGGACCCTGTGAGAGTCCAGATGTTCTCCATCTCTCCAGAGCACCCCTGGGCAGGATGGCAACATAGTGGATGGGGGTTGAGGCTGCCCAGGGCTCTGGACCAACCTGGAGGAATAGACCCTTCCCAACAGCCCTGGGGCAGTCAAGGGCAATCCCCCCAGGTTTGACCCCATCGCTGACTACCACATCCTCGCCACTGAAGGCCGGGATCCAAATGCCAGGCCGCGTGGGTGGGTCAGCTGGAAGGCCCTGGCCTCTGGGTGGCCACATGCTCCCTTCCCCTCCAGAGCCCTCTTCTTGGGGTTTTTCTGCAGATGCTTGGGTGCTGGGATGGAGTCAGATCAAGGGGCTGGGGTAGGGAATGAGGGGTGCCATCTCAGGCCTGGGGGCTGGTTTCTAGCCAGGCTAAGCCTCCAGGGCTGACATGAAGCCACTGGACATGCTACTGTACCCCCAGTGCTGGTCCTCCTTAGGGGAAGCTAATTTCTCCAAAGCACTGGAATCTGGAAGCCTGCCCCCCTGGGGGACCCAGGGAAGAAGCCAGGGGTGGGATTTGAGAAGGCAGACAGTGGGCCTAGTGGGACCTGAGCTCTCTTCTCCGTGCCTTGCCTGCCAGCTTGAGGATGGTGGGAGTCATTGGCAGCTGATGAGAGACATCACAGGAAATTAGCGACAAGTCCAGAGGCCAGGCTAGAGGTGGGACACTGGCCCCGTAGGGTCTGGGTGTCCTAGGGTCTGGGTGGGGTGACAGGGAGAATCCATAGTCAGGGCTGCCGCTTGCTGGGCCTAATGGCCTTTGGACAAGTGGAGCTCAGGCAGGGAGATGCTTTGTGGGGCCACTGGGCCTGCAGAAGCTGACCCATTGGGCGCACATAGCCACCTGTCCTACTCAGCCTCTGAAAGACA